ACCCCCAGGAGGGTGATTTTGGAGGGTGGGGGTCACTGGAAGAGGATTAGAGGTGGGGTCAGAGGTGGGGTTTAGAGGAAGTCTGAATAGGAACCTCTGACCGCTTCGGCCGGGGGCCGAGGCGAATAATAGTAAAACAGTATAGTGGTCCTCAAACGCCTACTACATTAACTTGACTGAGGCACATGTTCGCGAAGAGCCTGTCGTCGTCGAAGAAATGCGATCTGAGACATCGAGGCAAGGCTTGATCAACCGACGAAGATTCGACAGCAGCTTTGGGTTTAGGGGTTTGGGTTTAGGGCTTAGGGCTTAAGTGGCTTCCGAAGGTTAGAACACTAAATCCTCAATGTCACCAAAGTAACCCCTAGTCCTAAACTGGTCGGGTTCCGTAAACCCTAAACCCCCTAAACCCTAAACCCTTTATATATCCAAAACTCTAAACCCTATACATCCTAAATCCCACAAGCCCTGAACCCTAAACCCTAAACCTAAACATTACAAATCCCAAGCCTCAAATCCCCCAAATCCTAAAGGCGCTGTGGCTAGTTGTTTCATTTCGGGGTTTGGGGTTTAGGGTTTAGGAATTAGGGTTCCGCTCAGACCAACCGAAATCCCCTAATTAAGGAAGATACATTGAATTTCAGTAGGATCTTTCAAACGATTTAAGGTATAATCCTTAGTTCAGGTGTTGTGGAAGGTCTGGGCATCGGCCGGGTTGTCCAGGGTTCAGCATTCGCCGGCTTGGCACTACAGGAGAGTTTTGTGTTTCGGGTTTATAGGGTTTTAGGGTTAAGTGTTTCGGGTTTAGGGTTTGCTGCCGGTATGGCTCGTTAAAGCAGCAGGGATGGTGCTGCGCGGCTACGCAGCGCGTGGTGGCATTCGTGGCTCCATCTTAAAGCGGATCGCAAGGCCTGCACAGAAGCAGTGGCGAGGGTTCAGCCTGGGCAGATGTTTGCAGCGACAGTGACGGTAATGTCACGTCTATTCGACATTGTTTTCTGTTTCTGAGGGTGATCTTCATGCGGGGTTGGATTCAATCGAAATGTCTGCAGACATCAGATAGGACGTTATTATAAGGGCGTGTAAACTCTCGTGTCGCTTGTTCCACAGGGGCATTCGCAGTTGGTAGGTAAGGCTTTGTCGGGAGTTAGCCCGGTAGACTTTAGCTCAGCTAGGAGCCCTTAAGTATATGCTAGACCCCCGGCATCCGTCGGTACTTCGAGTAATTCAAAACATAGGGATCGAGAGCATCGCGCTAGACTAGCTGCAGTTTATGCTTCAATGTTCGGCACTACTAGGGCTTGGGGCTTAGGGTTTATATCGGGTTCGGGGTAAGGGGCCTAGTTGTAAACGACGTTGGAGATGCTCGACTGTCACACCCAAGCCCTGCTGAAATCTCCGAATCATGTTGCCCTTCCTCTGCCTGGAGTAGCCCGATGGTCTTCAGAAAAAACCTAAACCCTAAACCCTAAACCCTACAGTCACGAAATCAAGGTCATTTTCTATATTACAGGCAGAGAGCTTTCCACAGAAGTTCCTTTCCCTCCCTCAGCCCAAACCCTACCTTAACCCCAAATGACCTACCTTTTTCAGGAGCTATATACAGAAAGCTTAATAAGGAGCCCAAAATTAAAAAGGGAGGTTCTTTAGGGTCCAGGTATGTTCTAACAAGTCCTAAAGCCCTAAACCCTAAACCCTAAACCCTATGTCCCAAAGGTTCGAACATCAAGCATCGAACTCTCAACCTGCAGCTCCGAAGCCGAAAGTACTATCGTTCAACACCGCAGCCTTGTAAACCTAGGGTTTAGGTTTTATAGGGGTTTAGGGTTTAGGGTTTAGGGTTTAGTTTAAGTTTTGTAGGGGTTTAGGGTTTAGGGAAAAGCCCAAAAAGCCAAAACACGGCGGCGCTGCGCCAGGGATCTCCGATGTCGGTGCCCGTGTGCTTGCGGAGGAGCTGCGCCATCAGGATTGCCTGCGGCTTTGCTGCTACAAATCGTTAGGTTTGGGGGTCTCGGATTTTGAGTTTAGCGCCTGGTGACCCTAAACCCTAAACCCTAAACCCTAAACCCTAAACCCTAAACCCTAAACCGTTTAGGGATTTAGGGGTTTAGGGCTTTGGGTTTGGAGCCTAAGGTCCCTACACCCTAAACCGTAGGGTTCAGGGATTTAGGCGTTTAGGATTTTAGGATTTTGGGGTTTAGGATTTTGGGGTTTAGGGTTTAGGGTTTAGGGTTTAGGGTTTAGGGTTTAGGGTTTAGGGTTTAGGGTTTAGGGGGTTAGGGATGCCTGCTTTTAAGGTCTTGAGGGTCTAGGGAGTCCGGAAGCTTTAGAATCTTTTTGGGGGTTTGGCCGTTTACGGTTTAGGGTTTAGGGCCTACGGTTTTCGGGTCACGGCTTGTGATGACTACTGTCTGTTGTTGTCAGTACTTTCAGTCTGACTAATATTATTGTTATTATTCTGCTGTCATTAGTATTGTCGATCATTCTTATTGTTACTGCGTTTACGGCTTAGAATTTCGGGATTCGGGTTTCGGTTTCCGAGTGTCTGAAGGGAGTACCAGATCTTTTCTGCAGGATTCTGCGGTGTCCAATTGTTTGCCGCTGTGAAGCTCAAGCCCTAAACCCTAAGCCCGAAACCCTAAGCCCTAAACCCTAAGCCCTAAACCCTAAGCCCTAAGTCCTAAGCCCTAAACCCTAAACCCTTCAACTGCTGAAGTTCTGTTACGGACTTGCCAGTGCGCCAACCCCAAGGCTCCATGTACGCATTTTGCATATGGCCTTATGGGGGTCCTATATTATATAGGTACTTTAAGGCCTAACTATATATGAGTAGATGGAGCCTTAGGGCAGTGAGGGAATGACAATAAGATGTGTGTCGTTGGGCGCTCAGCGGTTGACCAGTGACAGTTACTTCTGGGGTGTAAAACGATCAAGCTAGGGGCACAAAACTCGCGCAGCTTTTCAGCACGAGATCTTGCCGAAACTAGTTTCGCCGTCTAACGGCTTGTTCAATCGGATTCGGTGCTGTACGGCTGCCATGTGCAAGCACATGTCACTGGGCTTGCTTTCGAACTGCGGCTCTGTTTTGAATTTAAATTTAAAACAGATCTGAGAGTAAGTCGCAGGCCAAAGCGGGACCGTGGTCGGTTTGATATCGTCCCATGTAGACGGGTTTAGGGTATGGGTTTCTTGGTGTGGGGAGACACTTCGTCGGAGGGCTGGAACACTGTCCTTAGACGAATCCAAGTACCAGATCTTGCAGCACGCTGACTTGTCGGTGTCCATTAATCATTCTTTGTATATCTTCTTTTTGTCAGGAGTTGAAACAGATGGAATCTTATTGTCCAGACCCCATCACCGTAAGCCCCCACAAGAAGACTGTCAACCCTAAACCCCAAACCCCGACTTAACCCAAAACCCTCCCAAGCCCTAAACCTTAAACCCCCTAAGCCCTAAACCCTAAACCCTAAACCCCTAAACCCCTAAACCCCTAAACCCTAAGCCCTTAAACCCTAAGCCCCTATGTAAGCCCCTCCAAGTTATCCAAAGCCGTGTGTCTGCCCAAGGCTCTCGCTGGACCTTCGGGGCAACAGCATCACCGAGGCTCCCGGCGGGCTCCTTTAAGGGTTCCTTGAAGGGACATTATAAGGGTTCCGATTTGGGGGATACTTTCCCATGTCATAATGATGGCTCCCAAAATAAAAGGGGACCCTGCATTCGACTATATAGATAATATAGGTACCTCGGACCCTTTGGGTTTGTTGCCTTACATGGATTTCAACTGCACGCTCAAGCAGGGGTATATGGTGCCAAATCATGGCCCTAAACCCTAAACCCTAAACCGATGGGCATTTGGGGTCTCATCGGGGGTAGATGGAGGTTCTCTATAGTTCAAAGGGTTCAGGATGTTAGGGTTTTAGGGTTTAGGGTTTGGCGCTGGTTTAGGGGTTTAGGGATCAGGGTTTAGGGTTTGGCGCTGGTTTAGGGGTTTAGGGATCAGGGTTTAGGGTTTAGGGTTTGGGGTTGGTTTAGGGGTTTAGGGATCAGGGTTTAGTGGTTTAGGTATCAGAGGTTAGGGCTTCGGGTTGCAGGGCTGGGATCTGAGTCACTGAGACTGTGTACGGCAAGCTGCTTCGGGATTTGGGTAGTAGCCGAGAAGAGCGGCAGGGTTGGGGTTGGGTCTTAAGGGTTAAGGGTAGCACGGTGGTGGTGCGATGGGCCAGAACCACGCAATGCAACTTGAATTATAGTGGACGGGTGTTCAGGCATTTCTAGGTTGATTAATTAGTTTATCGAAATACAGTTTGGGGATGTTTGGGGCATATGGGCCTGCAAATCCTAAACCCTGAAACCTGCAACGTGTGTAAGCGCCGTGTGCCGGTGATTGGAGTGATTGGCATGCTCTCCCCCCTCAATCACATTTTTTAATGCGTAGATGTGTTATTGCGCTCCGTAACGCATAAACAGCTTCTATAGTGGTTCTGTACAACATCTTGGACCGTTTCTGACAGTCAGTGCCTTGTACCGTGGATCCCCATACGCACAGAGCTCGAGACCCTTTAACTAAGCAGCCTTCGCTAAAATGGACTTCTTTGGTATGATTTCACACAACTCAAAACCCGAAGCCCCAAACCCTAAACCCTACGCCCTCAGCCTTTCTTGACTTACTTCAATGAGGCTCGTGGCTTCGCCTACAAAGCTTGATGCCCGATATACCCTACAGCCCTAAGCCCTGAACCCCTAAACCCCTAGCTCCCAACCTCTGAATGCCGAAGCCCTATAACTCCTAAACCCCCAACCCCAAAACCCTTGTAGAAAATCCTTCTAGATCCCTTAGAGGAACCTCCCAGCCCCAACTCAAAACCGTACTTTCTCTTCGAAGGTCGGCGTCCTGGATTTGTGCCATGCCGTGGCCGCACATCCCGGGCAGCTGACGGAGGTCCCGACTCTTGGGCCCCCGAGTAGGCATTTATGTTCTAACGTATCCATGCAGCCTTGTGGTGTCGCTTTTGCTGACACGACAACTACATTATGATGGATTTGCCCCTCGAGCCACGAATCGTAGTAATCGTAGTATCAACCACCATTCGGGGTGATATCCCTACACCCTCAACTCACTTCTCAAAAATCTAGGACATTTTCAGGTGGGTAGTTACCGGTATGGGAGCCTTATAGAAGGTCTAGAGTCTAGAGTCTATATACCTTATAGAAGCCTTATAGAAGCCCTATACACCCTAAACTCCCCACCTGTAGTTTCCTTTAACTAAACCAGAAGCAGACGCCGGAACCGTATGCTTTAAGCCGCAGGTGCTGCTCACGGACAAATCCCCTGCATCGCGGCGGCTGGCGGGGTGTCTTGCCCTCTTTGGTTGCCACAGGTTTAGGGGTATGTTAAATGACAATGGGAACCCTAGTAAGATTTAAGGTATATTATTTAATTAAAGAGCATCCGAGTCTCTGAGCTGGGTGCCCTGGCCCTCCAAGTGTGGACCCAACCGTAGAATAACTGCAGACAGGGCTTGCTACTGTAAATAAGCCCATCGAAATCCTGTGGTGCAAGTTTAGCCTTTTAAGGACTTCTACAAGGAACCCGGGAAGAACCCGAAAGGTGGTTTAGGGTCCAGATAAGCCCCAAAGCCCGGGAAAGCCCTCAACTCCCTGAAACTGCAAGCCCTCATCGCCCCAAAACAACCACGGTCCATCAAGCCCCTAAATCCTGAACTTTTTTCTCAAAGCCTTATACAGCCTATGTGCTATACTCCCTAAACCCTACATTAGACCGGCTCTTTTGGGGGCCAGGCGGCTGGCCGCCACGGCGTTGGCCGCAGCACCTCACGCCGCAGCTCGCGCGGCGGCAGAACGAGGACGGTTTAGGGTTTATGGGTTTAGGGTTTGGGGTTTAGGGCTTAGGGTTCTGGGGCTGTTTAGGGTTTAGGGTTTAGGGTTTTGGCGGCAGAGTAGTGTAGCGTAGAACCCTAAACCCGAATCAAACCCTAAACCCCTAAACCCTTGTCAAACCCTAAAGTGTACTTTAGGCCCTAAAGTACAGTACACAATGAAGCCGAGGTTTGGTTTTGCTTGAGGCCGAGGTTTCACGGAGTCTATTCGTCTCAGCGCTTTACCAGCGTAAATCCCTAAGGCTAAAAACCCAAACCCGGCCTCAAACTAAAACCAAAATATCCTGAATCGTAAACCGTTCTGGTAGGTTTAAGGCGGAGATACCCCAAGGCCCAACTGCTAAATCAATTTACAAGCATGTGCTCCCCTAAAAAAATACAACCTAAAGCTACTGCTACCCTTGACCGAAGCTTCTGCAACTAACCCCGAAATCCTGAACGCAGGGGTAGTAAGATCAGCCACAGGATTGGGTGACGAAGGCATGGAGGAGCTTTGCCCACTTCTGCAGCTCGGATTGGTTGGTTATAGATCTTCTAAGACGTCCCACAGGCTGATGTATCGTCTGAACAAACTGCCCTAATTATACCCTAAACCCCAAACCCTAAAACCTAAACCATAAACCTAAACCCGAAACTACCATAACCTACTTTTAGTAGGTCTTTAAAGTGAACCCTTGGTATATAGAGTTCATAGGGACCCTACGAGGGTGTTGGTGAGTTAAGGTGGTTTTCGAAGTAGAGGGCCTATAGAGTTTAGGGTTCACGGTTCAGGGTTTCAAGAGTGTTTACCAGGGTAAAGGGCTGGTTTTTGGGCTTGAGAAGGTTTATCGGGTCTGGGGGGTGCTGCTTAGGGTCCGGGGGTGGGGGAGGCGGGGGCGCGGGTTTGCTTGAACCTAGGCCGACCTTGACTTCGTTATGAAAGTCATTGAAGATTAGGTAGGTTATGTCGGGCTGAGGTAGAGTTTAGGTTTAGGGCAGGGCTCTCTAATTCGGGTGTAAACTGCCGCTGCCACTGCCATTACCACTGCCACTGACACTGATTGCTACTAGCAGACTAGCACTATCACTGTCACTGTCATTGCCATTACCTCTGCAGCTACCGCTACCACTCCCACAACTACTTGTACTACGACCGGCACGACCACTCCCACTTCCACCAGCACTTTTACTTCTATGTCCATTACCACTCCGGGCATATAGATCCCAAAGATTCCAGCAAACATATTTGATGCCGTACATCTTTGACATGGCACTTCTGCGTTCTCAGAACTTCCGCCACCTTCCCGGGCAGACCGAGATTCGTGCGAGGCAGCAGAACGCTGCCCGGACCCGTGGGAGTCCTCATACATCGCTCGCCCTGAAGTCGAAGATACTGGTATGGCTCAGGTTGAAATCCCTGAGCACATCCGAAACCGAATCTGCACTGTCCTACAAGTCTGGGGTTCACCCGCAGTGCATTGAGGAACCTCGCACCCCAGAAGTCGACGAAGAACTGGGTCTACACCCAGAATCAGGCATGCCGTCAATTCATATAGAAGCCCAGCGAATTACCAAGGTGTTATTCCTTATAGGCCCCAAAACCCTATTCTGATTATTGAGGCCCCTAAACCCTAGGCCCTAAACCCTGATTATTATAGTAGCCCTTCCAAACCGTTAAAGGAACCCCAAAACCCCCATTCTAATCATGAAGGCCCCTACATTATGCTTACTCCTAGCAGTGACTCTTCAGAACCAACCCGAGGAAGTGAAACCGAAAGCCCTGAAATGTAGTACCCAGAGGGTGCATATACAGTAGCATCATGGAATGAGGTCCCAAACGACCATCCCTACTATGGTCTTGGGGCCCGAATTCCGTAATAGTAGTACATTTGGACCGACCCTCTTGTCTATAAGAAGGAGCCCTAAGGAATCATATTGGAAATTACGCAGGCTTCTGCATTGAACCTTGTTCCCTCAGCTTTTCGGCAGCCTCAACCCGCTGAAACCTCAGACCAGCCACAGGGTTTAGGGTTTCGGGCTCTGGGTTCAGAACAAAATACCCCTCATACATAAACCCCCGCGAGGGGGGACCCTTCGTTCTGAGAAACCCTTCTTCAGTTCTAACGCTTGTATACAACGACCCTTTCTCTTCATACCTTAAGCCCCAGACCCTTGACACTGCATTCCTAAACCCTACATCCCTAAACCCTACAAAGCTCAAGCCCTAAAAGCCAAACCCTAAACCCTAAGCCAGAAATCATCAAGTCCTAGCCCGGCCTATAGCTCGCATTGTAGTCCCTTTGTTTTTTTTGGGGGGGTACCTTTTAGGGTTTGGGTTGTAGGGTTTTGTTACACATTAAAAGGACCTAGAATATATACTATGGGTACATCTTTAGTTCTCCAAACCCTAAAACCCTGAAGCCCCAAACCCTAAAGCCCTAAAGCCCTAAACCTTAAACCCTAAAGCCCCAAACCTTGTAGTACCTTAAAAAATTCCCTTAGAAGGCCGACAAGGTTTTTTTTTAGAGGAGCCCACCTACACCGAGGCCTAACCTGGGGACACTGACCACCTTGGGATTACAGCACAATGCCTCCTGTCCGCAGTGCAGGCCGACCCTGTGATACAGGTTTTAGGGCTTATAGGGTTTTAGGGTTTATAGGGTTTACAGGGCTTACAGGGTTTATGGGGTTTAGGCTTTCGGGTTTATGGCTTGTAGGGTCGAGGGTTGAGGGTTCATAAGGATTTTAATGGATCTAGCCCTAAGGGTCCAAAGGACCCGATAATTATGTACTCGGTCTTAGCATAGCAGTTTGTAGGTTAGCGTTTTGGAGAGTGTATGATCATTATGCACTTGGACCCTTGGGCGGAATGATTAAGGCTCCAAAAGAGCCCAAAGGGTCCTAAGTAATTACCCATATAGTTGAGTGTAGGGTTTCTGTAATAAGAACTACTATTAATCATGGTTTGGGCAGTAACCGTACGGCTCTGTGTACCCATAGAGCACATACTTAGGTCTGCAAGTGCCTATATAGGGACCCCGTTGGGCCTAAGTATACATCCTAAACCCTAAACCCTAAGTAAACACTTTATAGGTACGTGGAGCCCCAGGGTAAAGTGCCCAAAGAGAAGGTTTTTAGAGTCGCACCTTGTTTGGGTGACGTAGGGTTTAGGGTTTAGGATTAGGGGTGACCTTAATAATCAGTCTTCTGCCTTGACCCTAACATACCCTCACAGTAACATATAGGCCATTCAAAGCAAGGTACTTGTGTCTAGGGTCTTTCGGTAATTATAAGTAGAGTATGAGCCCTGTTCTTCTTGAGACCACATGTTAACATGGAGTCCCCAAACCCTAAACTGTGCACGTAGATACCTGCCTGTTTATGTTGGTGCTTCGACTAGTTTGGTCTCTATAGGTGACATTCAAGCCACATCCGCCAAACCATCGAAGGGGTTCAGGGTTTAGGGTCCAAGGTTTTTGCGCCATGAAAAAAACCCAAGCCCCACACTCTTAGAACCCTCTTATCCTGAGCTTCAACCCTTCACCGAATGCCTTGCACCGCCACTTGCTTGACCCAAAACCCTCTAAACCCTAAATCCTAAACCCTACAAGCCCTAAATCCCATAATCCCTATAAGCCCTATAAACCCTACAAACCCTAAACCACCCTAGGCCCTGGTCCCGAGACTCTATCCCCTAAGATTGGGTTTAGGGTTCAGGGTTTAGGGTTCTCAGCACCTGTCATTCCCAGAGACTTTACAACGGCCCTCAACTAAGGAACACACCTTCAAAGTAGAATAAGAATCCTAATTGTCCTGTACGAACAAGATTTCAGGGGTATTCTTGAATTTAAGGTGGTTTGGAATCTTTGGTTTTTAACCCGAAACCCAAAACCCTAACCCCGAAACGCCTAAACCCTAAACTCTGAACCCCTCAACCCCTAATTAACTCCTAAACATGTCGTATCTCTCAGGCCATTGGGGCCCGGGGCGCCTGCTCTCTCGCGGAGGCCTTGCCAAAGCAGCTCGGCTGCCAGGGACCCAAGCTGAACCTCTAAGCCCACAACACCACGCCATCATTGGACCCCCTTTAAACCCTTCACGGCTTGAGTCGTGTTCTGGGTTCCTATGTCGGGTTCCACGTGGTGTAACCACATTCCTACTGAGGCCCCATGATCCTTCGATCGTAGCGCAAGCTGGCCCCATAGACCCTCTATTGAAGCCTGAATGTGCCCTTATACAACTAGGGTAACTAGGGCGGATCTAGAGCCCTTCATGGGCCCTTATAGAACACCGAGTGTGCCCGAATAGAACCCTTAATGGGCGTTTGTAGAACCCTTCCTGGCCCTTTATCGAAGCATCAGTGAGCTCTTTGGAACCCTCGAACCCTAAACCCTAAACTCTAAATCCTAAACCCTCCTTAAATCCTATAAACCCCAAACCCTCAACCCTAAATCCTAAATCTTAAACCCCGAACCCTACAGCCTAAGTCCTAAACCCTGTAACCCCTAAATCCTAAATGGACTTCACCCAGGATGCAGGCTTTGCGCGAGCTGCTTCTCTACAGCAACGACCTAGGCAGTGAGCTCCCGGTTTGTCGGATTTAGGGCTTAAGGTTGGGCTTAGATGCTCGATGGTAAATATGCACATACCCTAAGGCTCCATGTGCCCATATACCTATATAGGGACCCCTTTAAGGCCTAAGTATTTACTATAAAGGTACATGGAGCCTTTGGTTCCTGAACCCTGAGTGAACACCCGAGAAGTTTTGTCATGCTTCACCGTTTGATGACGTCTCTGTGCAGCCTATCGGACATGCGTTCAGACGTCTAGGTAAAGCTCAGTACACCCTAAGCTACCATAACCTGTAGTTTTGAAGGCCGCATGTAAGCTCGCCAATAAGGGCTCACAGGTTATATGGAGACCACAGAGGTCGGACTCAGGGTTTATCACGATTTAGGGCTTAGGGATTAGGGTTTAGGGATTAGGGTTTAGGGTGTTATCTAAACCCTAAGTCCGAAAGTAGTAAGCCGTCTAAAGTAGATGTCTTCAGTGCCACGCTCTCGGGTCAAAGTTGTGGGTGAAAGTGCCCTAAACCCTAAACCCTAAACTCTAAACCCTAAACCCTAAAAAGTGCCCTAGGAAAGACAGAGCCCCATGCCCTGCACCGGTAAGTTTTAGGAGTTTTAGCGTTTGGGGTTTCGGGTACCAGCCCAATCGTCCACTAGCCCCAGAGGCTTTAGGGTTTAGGGTTTAGGGTTTAAGGTTTAGGGTTCAGGGTTTAGGGGTTAGGGTTTAGGGTTTAGGGGTTTAGGGCTCAAGTACCAAAACACCAAGGTTTTGGATGCCAAGATCTATGCTCTGCATGGTGTTTGATTTCAGACCGGCAACAGTGTGTCTGGAACCCGGAACCCTACCGCTTGGGCACTTGGACCCTTAAGGAACCCGTTTGATATGGGGGGCTGAAATAATTACCTATACTATTTTGGGGGTTCCTTATTATATTTATAGTATAATGGGCCCTAAAACCCTATTCGAATTATGAAGGCCTCTACGTTACCCATAGTTTCCCTTGTCTGGTCAACCAGCTTCATGGCCCCATCTCGACTCGAGGTAGGGTTCTGAGAACTTGCAAATCAAAAGCTCCTGAGTACCACAAGCTCAAACCTGGAGCCTGCATGGGGTTTAGGGTTTAGGGCTTAGGGCCGTTTAGGGTTTAGGATTCAGGGTTTAGGATTTAGGGTTTAGGGTTTAGGAGTTAGGGTTTAGGGCTTAGTATTTAGGATGTAGGGTTTAGGGTTCAGGGGGTTTGGGGCATAGCGTGTAGGATTTAGGCTCTACGTTGGGGTTTTAGGTTTAAGGTTTTGGTGTTACGGTTCATGAACCGGCTTCGCCGACGTGTGCTGCAGGGACGAGCACGAGAACTCCTAAACCCTAAACCCTAAACCCTGGAGCCAATAGCAAGACCGTCAAGCCTGCCAGCGTGGCGCCTAGGGCCTGGGGGTGACTACAATGGCTCAAGCTTGGGTACTGCCCCCACTCAGTAACAGTTGGATAATATTTATAGTATGGATATATTAGGCCCTGAATAGTAGCTCTATTATAGACCCAGAGACTGTAAAACCCCCTCAGTTAAGGAATATACCGCAAACGATAATCGGAACCTTAACCAGATTTAAGGTATATTCCTTAATTAAGGGATATTGGAGTCTCTGGAACCCTAAACCCTAAACCCCAAAACCCTAAGCCCTGGGTACCCTTAATAGTATACGTAGCCCTATCATAGACTGTTACTGTATGGGGGGGGGGGGGGTAGTCTTAAGCTCGAGGCCAAGCGCGCTGCCAGAAGTGCTGGCGCCAAGACGCCCCAGACGAAAGTAACGCCCAGAGAGCCCAGTACCCCTTTTCATTAAAGAGTATAGCCTGAACCAAAACATTAAGGCGCCTATAATTTAAGGAAAGTAGCTTAAACCAAAAGATTAAGGCCCCTAGAATTTAAGGAATATACCTTGAACCAAAAGATTAAGGCCCCTATAATTTAAGGAGTATACCTTAAACCAAAATATTAAGGCCCCTACTGTGTAATTTTGAGGTATCTTCCTTAATTAAAGGGTATTGGGCTCTCTGGGAAGCTCCCGGGACTGGTGGCGCCGAGAAGCTGCAGAAAGACTTCCTTTACTGTGGTTTAGGTTTAGGGTTTAGGGTTTAGTGCAGAAAGAGCAAGATCTGGAGGGCTTGATAGCAATGTCAAGGTGAGCTGCATAACCCTTGTAGTGGCCCTTCAGAATCCGTAAAAATGCATTATACAACACTTACGAATTTGTGACATAATTTGTGGCCCAAACTACGAGGTCCCCCCCAGAACCCTAAACCATGCCTCAGCACCAGACCCCAAACCACCCTAAACCCCAAAACCACAAAGTCAGAAACCCGAACGACCAAATAAAACCAAAACCTGAAACGTCATAAACCCGAGCACCTGTTTCCTCAAACCCAATGCAGAAGACCCCCCCACCCCTCAGAAAGAATAAATCTCTAAACCCTGAACCCTAAACCATAAAACCCTAAATCTTAAAACCCTACACCCTAAAACCCTAAACCCTAAACCCTAACACCCTAAACCCTAAACCCGAAGCCCCTAAACCCTAAACATCTACTAAACCCTAAACCCCAAAACCCGAAAACTAAACCCTAAACTGTAAACTATACACCTTAAACCCGAAACCCTAAACCTCTAAACCCTTCAACTAAACCCTAAACAAATTTAAACCCAAAGCCTTAAACCCTAAAACCCGAAACCCAAAACCTCTAAACCCTAAACAAATTTAAACCCAACCCCCGAAACCCTAAACCCTAAACCCCAAACCCTAAACCCTAAACCCCAAACCCAAAACCTCTAAACCCTAAACCCTAAAGTGACTGCAGGCCCCCAAGGTGCAGAAGCCATTCTCAAGGCCTTGCCGGCTCCTGGACATGCAGGGTTTAGGGCTTGTAGGGTTTATAGGGTTTATAGGGTTTTTTTCGGGTTTAGGGTTTATAGGGTTTAGGGTTTATAGGGTTTAGGGCTTATAGGGTTTCTAGGGTTTTTAGGGTTTATAGGGTTATTAGGGTTTATAGGGTTTATAGGGTTTAGGGTTTATAGGGTTTAGGGTTTATAGGGTTTAGGGTTTATAGATCTTAGGGTTTATAGGGGTTGGGGTGTATGGGGTTTTAGGTTTATAGGGTTTAAGGTTTATAGGGTTTAGGGTTGAGGGTTTAGGGTTTATAGGGTTTAGGCTTCGGGCATTGGGCTTAGGGCTCAGAGGGCTTATAGGGTTTAGGGTAAGTTCGCCTAGGGGCTCTTGAAAGATCTTGAACTCTTGGGGGAGGATCCATCCTTATCGTGTATTGGAAGGCACTTGTTATCTTTATCCAGGAGTTTTGGAGTGTCTGGGTTAAGGGTTCAGGGTTCAAGGAATAGGGCTGTTAGGGTTTAGGGTTTAGGGTTTAGGGTTTTAGGGTTTAGGGTTTAGGGTTTAGGGTGTAGAGATAAGGAGGTAGTTGGCCGCCTCGGGATACTTTATAGAAACCCAACAGTACTCGTCCAGTTTAGGAAGTCGCATGACCCTGAAAAGCTCAACTTGGGAGGCTCTCTTTACGTTCGTACACTAGTGGATGCCTAAACCCTAAACCCTAAACCGCCAAAAAGGAAGCAAACGAATTTCTTGTTGATTATGTGAGTTGAGAGCTCTAAACCTCAAACCCTAAACCCTAAACCCTAAACTCCTAAGTCCCAAAATCCTAAACCCTCAACCCCTAAACCGTAAACCCTAAAATCCTAGTCCATGAATGTCTAAACCCAGCCTAAACCCTAAACCCTTACACCCGGAGACCTGAGCTCTGGAACCTCCTAGGCTTCGAACTGCGCTAAGAGGCCCCATGGGGTAGCCGTAGATTCTTCAGGATCCTAACAATAAGACTACCTTAACCTACCAGAACCTACTTTTTTGTAGGGCCCCGATAAATTCCATACGGCTGATGGACAAAATCCTGCATGACTTTATATACCTAAACTATGGGATTTATGGTACTATACTATATTTGGGTCATGCAGAATTTTGTCCATCAGCAGTATTATAGGGTTTATACTAAGAACCTACAAAAAAGCAGGGTTCGGTAGTTTAAGGTAGGTGGTAATCCAAAAGAATTGCCTGACATCCTAGGGCCTGGCTGGGCTTTGTTTGGGGTTTAGGGTTTAGGG